AAATAAATGACGATATTTTCACCATTCCGCCTCCTTCAGTTCTAAACCACAGAACTAACGTTTATCACCTGTGTCAGCATTTTCCTCATAACACTCTCGACTGATCATAGCTTATACTACAAAACAAGCAAATGAAAGAAACTCAAATCAATGTAATTATTATTCCTGATCATGCTGGTGGTTGTACAGCATCAGATTTCAGCATCTCAAATGGAATTTCTTTAAATGGACCCAACAGGAATGTGAACAGCCCTCTAAACAGAAACTCTCATCAAGCAGAGACCCACACAGGGGCAGGGCTGGATGTTAAAACACCCATGTGAGTCTTGAGTCAATGTCCAGCACAGCAATGTCTGTGTTTGGTTCATCCATCAAACATTTGTCTTTACATGAGTAAAACAGCTACTGATGCACCCTGAGGATGTCATTTACACTAATGTTTAACACAGAACAACAGCAGGAAGAACGTAGTTATGTTCAGACTTTCAGCTGGATTTTCATTTCTTGGAATGTTTTTGTCTCCGCACCATATTATATGATTTTATTTATTTGTTTGTTTGTGTTGTGTGCAGTAATTAAATCTTTGAGCCAGAAGCCCATGAACGTATTTTACTTTATGATTCTTACTGCTGACTGTTCTTCTTTCTCTCCAAACTAAATGTTACAACACATATAATTTTCATCAGCTAAAAGCCGCCTTCACATTTCTAGAGATAATGAGTGTGGGTATGTCAAGATCAGCGTGTAAAGCTGCCGATAAAGTCAAGGGATGAACTCATGCCAGACGAGTACAGGCGGAAACTGTCTCTTTAATACGAGCACTGACAACGAACAAAACGATACAAACTACTTAAAACATGAAACGCACTCACAGATCGGTGACACAGTCCAGGGTCAGAACCAGCAAACGCACACATCCAAGGTATCCAAAGCGAGAGGTCAGAGAGGGAAGTCCGATAATCGAATAAACAGAAACCAGAACAGAAAGTGATTCTTCTTCACTTATGTTATGTTGAGCTCCTAACGACGTGCATCAGTGCAGCTGCTCCCTAACGGCCAACAGACAGCATAACATTTTAAACTGTACATTTGTGGATGACAGCTGCACAACATATTCCGTTTTCTGTACTTGTGTACTTGCTACATATAAGAAAGTGAACATTTGTGAGATGGCTGCATTTTTATAATTATTTTCACTGAATTATCTATTAGTCTAGCTGTAAATAATAAATTTACTTGTGACAGGACTGGGGGGGGGAAGCAAATACAGTGTGTAACATTTCTGACTAAAATCCATAGAGAGACTCATTATTAAAACTAAAATTGAAGCCTGATATTTCCAGTGTACAGGTTGTTCCTAGTTGTTACATTTTTTAAATTTTGTTTTTGTTCATTATTAGAACTAATGAGATAATTATTAGAACTAAAAGTGAAGTCTGCTATTTTCAGTGTACACGTTGTTCTTAGTTAAATTTTTTTAAATTACTTTTTGTGACGTGACGCTAACTGGACCAACACATCACAATGAAAACAAAGTATTACTGTAACTAATGTACCTCTCCATTCACTTTAAGGTCACAACAAAACCCAACAAACTTAAGAAAATGTAGCATTTAATGAGGACACTGTCACAGTCCCACTGATGAGTTAAAGCAAAGAAACAGTCTAGCAATAAATGGTGTACGAGTGAAAGCTGCCCCAGGCAATCTATCAAACATATAAATTGTTCCATGCTTGCGCTATAACACCGAAGTGTTGACTAAAGACTAAGATTCATTCAGGTCCTTATATAAGCATAATATTATGCTAATATTATGAAAATTTACAGTCAACATAAATAATCCACAATTTTGCGATATTTCCTCACAGGAGATGAGCTGCTGTGTCAAAGGACGTGGATATTCTCCTTTAGTTTCTGGTTTAGTGCTATAAAAAGTAGATAGCTTGGACTTTCCTAAATAAACAAATTTTAAATTTGCACTCAAAAGCAGACAGGGTGATTTAGGAAGTGCAGGTAAATGTACAATGTGTACAATTTTAAAAGAAGGAATGAATTTGTGTAGTGATAGAGTCTGACCACAAAAAGGGGTGCTTGGTTTGATGCAAGGCATCTCCCTGCTAAGGGGCCCATGTTGGATATTGACCGTGCCTTGACAGGGAATTGAACCTCAACCTGCCGTACCAAACACAGAAGTGTTAACCACCGAACTATCCAAAAGCTAAAACATTTTTTGGTTTCAGTTTCTCACATCCTTGTCACACGAGGCTGAGATTGCACAGGGTTCTAAACCACACTCATAAAATGATTTATCGTGCAGCCCTAATAAATATCTATTTCAGTAGGTCAAGTTAATTTTATTTTCTATATACATTCACAGTGTTGTACTGTTTATGGGTTTTTGTCATTGTTTACTAAAGAGAGCCATCTACTGGACATCTACCTATATTCAACTATATCCAAATAACTTATTTAGCATGCTTGTTTAAACTGATTTTTGATTTAATTGTTCATTAAAAAACTAATTTTGGGCACCACCAGGGACATATCATAAATGTTTTCAGCCCAGGCTTCATGGTCCTTGCCCCCAAAATCCATGGCCCTTGTGTAGCCATTACTCTGACACAAATGTCTGAATAATTGCATTTATGTACCTACGAGTCCATTACTAACCCACAATACCCTGGGCTCCTGGTTTTTCCAATAAAATGTGAATGAAGGATTGACATTTTGCAATAGCTGATGTGACAGCAAACCAAGTATGAAGGTCACTGTCATGGAAACGTACTGGAACACACTTGTAACCTGAAAGTCATATGATGCACCTCATTCAGCTCAAGTAATGGGCAGTATCATGTGATGTCAGTATAGTGTGTCTAAGTCAGCAATCCAATGCAGCCCTATATAGCTCTCTCCCTATATTTGGTCACTCTGACATTATACAGTAGATGAAGTCTAATGCCAAATGAAAGTTAAGAGAACTAAGCATGTAAAACCTGAAAATTATGGCAGTGTCTCACTCCCTATCATTTGCTCCTCAATGATTTTGGATATTACCAATGTAGTTGATTATGCATTGGAAAGATAAGCATATTTTCAAGGTGATGATGACCCTTACTGAGACAAGGAAAGGAAGCCTCTGAAATCCTGCGGTGCTGGCCTATTACCAGCAAGGCAACTGTTTCCAGCTACTGCTCCCACACTAATTCTATCACTAAAGACAGACTTGCCTAGGGTGTGGACGTTAAACTGAATTTTCAACGTGACTGCATAATGTCTGACAATGCAATTAAGATAATGTGGGTGTTGAGGTACAAATGCCATGATTAGAGAAAAAGTTTTTTGTGAATTATGCAAAACCAACAGAATGTTCATTCCATTTATACATTTAATGGTGCCTAAATTTAGCTCAATTCTTGTAAAAAACAGTCAATTTTTTATATATATATAATTAAAAATAATGGCTTGCAGTGGATTGGTGACCTGTCCAGGGTGTACCCTGCTGTCGCCCGATTGCCAGCTGGGATCGGCTCCAGAACCCCCCACCCCCCTGCGACCCCGTTTGGGACTGAGCGGTATAGAAGCTGAATGAATGAAAGAATAAGGGCTAAAACTGCTAAAACATAAGGGTAAGTGCATTAACATCTTAGCAGCTGTTTAAGTAAATCTATGCAGAAGTGAGGTAAATGGCAAATACAACCAAGACCTGAAAGCCATAACTTTAAAAAACCAATTAGTGATTAAGAATGTAAAATGACTGCAATGACTTGGGTGACCTCTAAGCTTAGGTTTCTATTTAAATAAACAATAGAGTAAATAGACTCTATAGGGCCAGACATGATCTAATCAGTTGTCACTATGATAAAAATACATGGCCTTCAGAATTAAATTCCAGTGTAATGATGGTTCCTTTATTGACAGCTTTATATAGCTGCAGGTCAAAAGACTGTATAAAAAGAGAAAAACTGTGTCCATTTGATTTGTTTAAACAGATATGTTTAATTAAAATGTTCCAGAAATACTGCAGGTTCAGTATTCTCTACTAAAATGCTTGTTGACTTTGCAAGTGATCACATAGACAACTAAGCTAACAAGGACAAACTGCTTCTGTTCATCCATCCATACAAGTTTCATCTTCACCTGACCCTCAGAGTCCTGATAGTGGATCAGGTGGTGCTCACCATCATAGTCATAGGAAAGAGCTGATTTTTGCAGCTCCATGGAAACAGGACAGCTGATACACCAGAAGGGTTTCCTGAATTCATCCAGCAGAGTCAGACTCATGATGCAGCAATTCTGACGAGGAGAAGAAAAGTAGCTCAACATGTGTCAAGACCTCTTTTCTATGTGGACTATCACTGGTGTGACTTCACTGGTGTGATTTCACAGCTGTTCCACTCCTATGCCAACCTCTGAAAAGCTTAACACAGATACAGTGCTGAGATAAAACTTTCAAAAACAAATTCATGATAAAGAGAGAGATTCACTTTGTATTATCCTCCAGCGATCAGAAGAAGTGATGTGGGGCCCACTCTAATTTAAAATCAACTTTTTAATAGGTATCAAAATAATAAAACTAGCATGCAGTCTCTTATCATTTGACAGCAACATACTGGGGACACTTACAGGTAGGACATGCATTTATTTTGTTTTTCCTAAACCACACAGTGGAACACCATGCTGACAACTGACAACACATGTGCAGTACCTCCACTGAGCCCTGTAGGGCCTCACACCTCCAGGTCAGGGTGATGTTGCCTGTCAGGGGTGTGTGCTGAGACAGGTTTGTCATGCTAATGGCAGTCAGCTGGACGAGTCCATCTCTGACCTGATCTGGTCAAACACAGCAAGTAGTAATTAGATCACTATAATAATTACTATTATTTGTTGAAATGAAGTGTTGCCCACTCAAAGGCCAGTGTGCAATTAAATATAATAATTAGAAAAAAGACAAAACAAGAATGAAAACTATCAAGGATAACTATTTAAACATAGTAATTGTATTAAACAATTAGCTTTATTTAGTTCTATGTGTAAGTGGACTGTGTAACTGTGTCAAATTACTCCATCCATTCATGAGCTATATCCACTTGTCCTCTACAGGGATCACAGGTTTGAACCTAGCACTGTGAGGCAACAGTGCTAACCAATGAACCACCTGTACATAACATTTTTGTACAGGTTCAAAGGCAATAGGCAGATGTGCAGGGTGGTGCAAATGATTCAGTGTAGATAAGGCATGTATAAGCATAAATACATTACCTCTTCGACAGAAGAGCTGGGAAAAGCTTGCAGACATGAACTTGCATACATTGTTGTGGAGTGTAATGTGTAGTTGGTAACCATGGAGACCATATTCAGGGTCTATGTCGTCAAAGGGGGATTTTACCATTGGCTCGATGTAGGGGCTGGAGGAAGAACAAAGTTAACAGGTGAATAGGTGTGAGAGTGCAGTGTGTGAAGAAAAAAATTTACAAAACGCCATGTCATTAACAAGGTATTTCAGAGATTTGTTACTTTGTAAACTGCAATTATAATGTCCTGTTGCACTGTGCTTTCAAAAGACACCACGAGAGGGGGCTATGTCCACACAGTGATGAAGCACAGGATTCACATAGGCTGACAAAGTAACCATCAGGAATGCTGAGTAGTGCCGATGACGCTGCGCGTCTCCCCCCAGATAATCAAACACAACACAACAACTCCAACACTCTACATCATATAACCTTCACTAAAAATAAAATCTGAGCATCATATGATTTGGCCCAGTGGCTTTTCACTTTTAAAATACTGCCTTCATCACAGGTTATACCCGATGATAGGCAACAGATGATAGGAATTCAACCAAAGCAGGACTTTTACAGTATTTCTTAGGTTGTTTTATTTGCAAGATTTTTATATACTTGAGAGTTAAAGCGAATGATTAAATAATTGCTGGTGTACCTAAAACTTACACATAACAAGAATAACCTTCATATAAACCTAGTGTAGTGCAGTGTAGTGTACCATAGACGAGTCCAGGAGCATCAATTCAATCCTATCAGTTTGTATCCTTTCAGTTTGAACCCTAATCATCTGATGGTGATACACTGCATGCTATGTGAATAAAAGGCACCTGCTGCGTACCATACAATAGATCCCTGGATGCTTCTTTCCAACAGCCTGTGCAAGTGGAGGGTGAACATGACAAAGGCAACAGAGCACTGGCCCTGCAAAGAGAAAAGTCACTTAAAATCCTCATAAATTCTTCTGTTAAATCAGACATTTGTAATAATAATGATAAAAATTACCCTCCAGATACCCATGATGATGCCAGGCTGTAGCAACTTAATTTCCACCAGTCTGTCCTGACCAATGACTTGCACACCTTTAGGTAAAGCCTGCATGTCTAACTTCACTATGAGGGACCTCCTGCCAGGACTGACAGAGCAAGCAAATAAAACAATAGGTTTAACTGAGAGAAAAGAGGAAGTCGAGGGATAGAGTGGAGACGGACGCTGGCTGTCTTACTTCTTTAGGCCAGGGCAGCTAAGAGCTATCCTCCTGACACCATGGAGCTGAAGTGTAGAAATCTGCTGGTAGTCAGGCAAGCAGCCTCCACCACTCCAGCACAGAGTCACAGAAGTCTCGAAGAACTGGGAGCAGCTCAGCTCCAATGTGTCCTCATGCCCTGACTTATCAGAGACCGTCAGCTCCCAGGTGATGTCTAAGTTTCTAGAATAAAATATGATGGATAGTTGGGGTTTTGCATATAGTATTATTAATATAGTGTACAAAGCTGCTGGTTCACATACAAACAAAGCTGAAATTAACAGGATATGTACTTTATTAAGGGGGAAATGAAGATACCAGTAAACCGCAATTGCTAAGCAATTATCAAATCTTCAGTACAGTTATTTAAAGATAATACAGTGCAAATAATTGGGCAGTGCTGGGTAAAACTGACTCTTGCCTTTTAAGTATGGCAAACTACGAGCGGCAGTGCTGGGTAAAACTGACTCTTGCAAACTACGAGTTTAATGGTTATTACATTTCCTTGACACCAGTAGGGAGTAGCATCACTGCATTCCCAACTAAGTGATATGCAGCAAATGAAATGAAACCACAGCTGTTGTGATAAATCTCTTGATCCAGTTCTGTCTAAACTGTGATTCAGAGCTGCCCCTACTGTGATGCAGCTGGTGTCTCAGTGAGGCACCATCCAATATCAATTAAGCAGAGGAACAAAGCTAAAAACTGGAGCAGCCCAGGAGGCCCCAGATGACCCAGGGGATTTCACTCTTCATTGTCTGTATGTGTGATGTCTTGTGAAATGATTATTACCAAGGTAAATCGCATGCTCCTCAGTGTCTCTAACAGACAAACACCCAGGGGGAATTGTCTGAGCTGGTGACAGGAGGGAGTAAGGGGAACATGTGTGCACATGCATGTGTGTGCTGGTGACGAGAGGTTAGAGGGCTGAGTAATTTATTTCAACAATTCAAACTGCCTCTGCAAAGAACACAATTATTTCTACTTCCCCTCTGTACCACAGCGACTGCCACAGAGCTCAAAATTGAGTGCAGCACAGCCTCTAATCAGAGGTTATATAAACATAGCAGAAACCACAGTGGAGGTGAGGTGGTAAGGGTGCTTTCCCCTGCATGCTGGCACCCCCCCTGGGCAGACATCACGTTCAAACAGACACCTCCTTTCTCACCTTTAATAAAAAAGTGGCATTAAGTGCAATATGAAAAACAAACCACGCTTTGTTTTTGATTGCCAGCGGCTTGAACTGTCCTAAGGTCTCTACCCTTGAACTTTCTTGATAGCAAGGGAAGATCTCTAAAGTTTTACTGTTTGCTAAATGCAAACAGTGCAGGGGTTTCCATGATACCTCCCAGAGATGCTTCCAATTGTAAAACAATCAAACATACTGTACTGCAAAGATGGCAAATGCAGATTACAGCATGGCACTGTATACAAACTATGATCAATATGCTTCACTTTAACTAACTTAAGAGAAAGCAGCAAACTGTAAAATATAAAAGTGACTGTATAAAGATTCCCTGAGAAATAATGGAACATTTGTCTTATCGTTGTAGAGGTTTAAATGCTTCCAAAATACATGGCAAACACATGATTAGTTTAACTCACAAGCAACACTTGCCAGGCTACTCAAGTGTTTGGTACAATATATGAAATCAAGTGCCTGGTACATTAAGCAGCTAATACACCTCAGGTACTTCATCCAAGTGGTTTCTCAAAAGGAGCTTTTGTCTCGCTTCACCTCTTACCTGAGAACCCGCTCTGTCTGTCTAGGCAGCCCAGTGTGATGGCTAATGAGTCCAAGATCTCTTTTCCACTTGTTCATATCACGTGCGGCCAGAGTCTTGAAGAACAACTGCTTGCAATAGCCAGCAGCTTGACCCTGCACCTCGGCAGAGGCTGTCTTCAGCAACAGCTTGTCCACACATTTAGGTTTCCGCGTTTTATCCATGAAGAACTCTGTTAAGTATATCTTGTTCCACAGAGCACTACATTGATAGTATTGGCAGGTATAGAAAAGGATTATGAATAGTTGAAAATAACTGTAAAAATGTAAGGAGACAGATTAACATGTTTGGTATGCTGGTTATCACAGCTCTGCAAAGACAATTCAGTCTGATAAATGATTTGTTTCCCATTAAAGTGATTGAATTTCCACTAAATGTATACTTTAGGTTTCATGAAAATTATGCTTTGAACAGTTATCAGATGTACAGTGCCTTTTACAAGCCATAAAAGCAGAAATTAAAACAAATCTCACTTTATTAGAGCTGAAACAATTTGATTGATTTGTGTTATGGCAGAGAACAGTTTTCATAATCAACTGATAATCAAAAATTACTTTTCCATAATATTTTAAACAAAAATGCCAAAATACAGCCTCTCAGATGTGACTATTTTGATGTTTCTTAGTCTTCTGTGATATCAAATGGAAGATATTTGAGTTCTGGGTTGTTAGTCTGACAAAATAAGCAATTTAAATGTGACAACTTGGGCTCTGGGAGGTTGTCATTGACATTTTCATTATATTCTGTCATGTTTTATACCCAATAATTAATCAGCTAATTGAGAAAATGATCATGAGACCAATCTATAACAAAAACAGTTTTTAGTTGCCACATTATATTTCACTGGTAGATTTCACTCACTTTGAGGATTCAAGTACAATCAAAAATAACTTCACATAAAGGAGATTTTTTTGTGTAGTGGTATTTGACAAATCCCTGACTTATAATGTCAATGCAAGACTTATTTATTTAATCACTTATAACTGACTTACTTATCACTGGCAAGCTGATAGAAGCGCTTATTGACGTGGCTGATGGTGAATAGAGCTGAGGCATCCAGGTATGACAGAATCTTATTTAGGATGTCAGTTGGCAGTCTACAGAAGAGGGAATCAGACAGAGAACAAGGAAGTGACACCAATGTTTTCATGCCACCTGTTGTTCAGCGCACAGTTCTTTAGAGGCATCAGACTATAAGGCACCTGCACTCTCGACAGGCTACTTGGAAATCATATCATACACTTCTGCCAACAATATGACCCATGCTGATGTTCTCATGTAGTAGATATGGTATAAATCAATGTTTTAAACTCAATGTTTTCTAAAGTGCTCTTACATAATAATACACCTAATCTGTTTTGCTTCTCTAATCATTACTTTCTACATGGTTTATTTATTATTATTTTCTTGGTTGAAGGCAATCTCCATATCTAGTGAAAAATACTAGTCAGGTGGTTGCATCTGTCCTGCTTAATCATATCAGTACTTTCTAATCAAATCACATGAGTGGATAACATATTCATGTTATTCATATATTCACAACAAATTCACATTTCCTAACTGGTCACACACATACATTTCATGGCATATAAACAAGATACAACAGCTTCTAAAACAAAACAGTAATTGAATAAATCACATTTGGTATAAATTCATATAGGGAATATAGTGAGGTGCTCTTTTACAGTAAGTCATTTCTGGCATTTCAAACAATTTGGGAAAAAGAGAGGGATGAGTCAGACACAAGCTGAGTCTACAGTATATCCACAATATTGCCAGTAAATTGGCACATGCACTCGGCACTAGGTAAACAACGCACCATAAAACAATTTAGGATTTCAGGATTTGTAAAAAGATTATAAATACCCTGTATAATTGCATCTAAGTTAGCGCTAAAATTATTAACTGATCCACAGAAAATGTATCACCACCAGTTTTAATAATTGCTTTAATTCAGTCATTAGCAAAAGAGCTTACGGGCTCTTTAGAAAGAGTACTGCTTCAAACTAAATGTGAACATCAGCATGCCAACATGCTCACAATGACAATCCTCTCACACTGATGGTAAGTAGTTACTGTGGTTATATACACATGTATCTATGAGTAAGTATGTTTATCATATCAATGTGTCAGCATGCTTACTTTTATTAAATAGCACTAAACACAGTTCAGGCCGACAGTAATTTTATTTACTTACTTATTGTTTGTTGGTTTGTTTGTAATCATAAACCATAGTGAACAAAAGTTAGAAAAACGTCGAGGTTAAAGGCTCACTAGAGTTGTTACTACAAAAGCCCTCACAAATGTCAACCTCTGACATTTCACAGAAATCCATTTGGTATTTGTAAAGACATCTGACTAAAAACCAAAACTGACTGTTTGCTGGTGGCACTCGAGGTTATGTTCATCCTGTGGGGACCGTGAGGATTTGCAGGGTTTTAGATTCTTGGTTGAACACAATAAACACAACAAGCAATATGAACACCTTTGGCTTGCAAAAACTGTCAGACAGGCATATTTAGGCTATTTTGACATTTTATAGACACTTAATAATGCTTCAATCAATAAGGCTAATTAAAAAAAAATAATTTCTTACAATCACTGTCAGTGATGTATTGTTTGTACCAAATTGTGACTGATTAAAAAAGAGAGAATGCTATATGTGCTTATTGACATCTTAAGACAGTTTTTAAAATTAAATTTCATTGTGCAGGGTAAAACAACCGTGCTAATATGAATTTACTGGCACACGTCTATGGGAGTATAAGGAATAACAGTCATAGGGTGTTGGTAAAATAGTAAATTGTGTAGGCTATGTAGGCTATGTAGTTAAGAAAGCTACCCTGAAGTTTCACTGATGTATTTACTGTCTACATTGATCAAATTGCAACATGTACTGCCTTCCACCTGTATTGATTTTTGTTGTGCTTTTATTGTGTTATGCTGTAAACAATGTCTATACATCATTTTTCTCACAGGGCAATAAAGCCTTGACTTGCCATAGTTTCTGAAAACAGCCTGGCTGAAGTGCTGAATGCCACGGGGTGAAAATACGAGCATGTTGTGACAAATTACCTTTCGATGAACTTCTGAGTGGACGTTGGAGATGATTTGTCAACTCTTTTGGACGTCCTCGCCGCTCGCACTCTAGGGATAACTGCTTTAGATGCAGCCATTTGTGTCCCTGGTTGGTCTTGACCCTTCTTTTTGACAGATACGAAGTAATTTATATTTGCAAGGACATGTTAAGAGCCATATTTGTTTGACAGCATGCGCCCAGTAGTCATGGTAACATCCGACAGCTTTTTCCAGGAGCACAAACAAAACATCCGGTGGAGAGTACCTTCAAAATAAAAGCGGACAAACTTTTAATTTGACATTATTGCGCATGACATTGCTTAAGCCTATATACACTCTGGAAAAAATAATGATGATAAAGATCGATTTAGTTCAGATAATAGTGGGCATAGGATATTAGACTGTGTTCAAATAATTAGCTCAGAATTCTGCAGACCCATAGTTTGAAAGGAGTTGAATGACAGGGGTCGGCCTACTCCAGTAATTTAGAACTACAGTTCTACTAAAATCAACATAAAATCCCAGAACTCGGGAGCAGATCCTCGGGACAAGTATAGTTTTGTCCCTCTAACGTAAATATAGATATTATCAGATGGCCAATATTGGATAATGCTGAAGTTATGTTTCCCCCCATTTTGTATCAGGTAAAATACAAGTATTTAATAGCAAAGAAGAAACAAATTTGACAAATATAAATGATCACTCATTTAATAAAAATGAATTGTGAAAGTATCTAAATTATTTCAAGTTTTTTTTTTTAAAGAAAAAGTCATAATCTCTCTTTGTTCCACTCTGCATTCTCCTTACACACTCACAAAAGTCAACATTTTTTATTTCACTGGTGGTCATGAGCACAGAATTCTGTGTGGATTATCAAAAAAATATCGGTCCAGTTAATCAGCCAGTTGATCAATCGGTATGCCACCCCAAACCCAACCAGCTACTTCTGGGTAAACATTGTAAGGATAGGGTCAGGCAAAGCTGCCCATAACCTTTCCCATGAGTGTTTTGAGTCAGAGTATTTACCAACACATACAATAAAGGAAAGTACAATTAAATGTAGTTGAGTAAATGTATAGTATATCAAAGTATAAAATTTACTTACTCTTGTAAAGTAGGTTACAATTGTACTTAACCTCTAGAGTCCCTGCGTCCTCATATGAGGACCGCACATTTTGGGTTTCCTGCACCATATACTTCATTTCTTCTCAACTCAGACCTGTTGTCCTCGTATGTAGACACTTTTGCCACCATCTTGTGGTAGGAAAAGCACATTACATGTGTTACTATAATTCCAAGATGGCGTCAATCTCAGCCAAGATGTTCTACAGTCGAGCCCGAAATAAAAATGGACAAGGTACAAAACCTAAAAACATTTCATGGTTGAAACCTGCTAATTTATGCTTTTTAATGTCTGTAGTTTGAGATGGTATATAAATTTGACATCTTTTAGCAATAGTAACAAGTTAGGAGGCTTCTAACTATGAAGTACTCGTTTGAGGACATTGGGACCATGTTAATACATTGTATGTGAAGGTGTAAAAGTAGATTTGTGAAAAAAACTAACGGATTCCACTAAATATAAATATAAACAGTTGTTGCATGTGGTACACATTAGTCTACATTGATTAAATTTCTTTTATTGTTATCCGATACATGTCTAGGGTCCATTTCTTTGTCAAAAGCAGAAAGACTGCTGAATGCAATAATGCATGATGTACAATATTTACATAAGACAGAGGTCACATCTTACTGACATCTTCCTCCATTGCTCTTGGAGGTTTCTTTCAGGGCTGGAGTGTGAGAGAAAGAGCAAACAAGTGAACCTATGTAGCAGTCAGACATCATTTCAGATATAATATGAAGACTCATTTACTGCTGTGAACAGACAGATGGACAGGCAGACAGATGGACAGACATGCTGCATTAATTTTAAAGCTTGTATTTTAAATCTTATGAAACATATGGTGGTGCTGAAATAAGGATATTTTATGCAAAATATTTGTAACATAAGTATTAAAACATTTTATTAGGGATGTGACAGAAGAACACTAAAAATGGCATGATTAAGCAAATCAAATTGTCTTGAGGGACCGTGTTGGGGAAGTTACTTTAAATAGCTACCAGGTACTTCACATTGGAAGAGGTTCAACTACAGCAAAGCTACCCTATATGGAGAAAATCTAGTTTGATTAACTAAAGATACTTAGAGATATTCAAAATTTTTATATAAAAATCTAATGCGCACGTGATACAATAATATAACAAAATATATTTAAATGTTTCTATTCTAGTTCAGTTCTATTATATGTAGTTCACTACTCCCCAACACTGTTGGAGGGGAATCATGTAATATAAATACTTGTATAATTTGTACAGAAAACACAAAACCAGCCGGCTGAAGCTGGCAAAAGCAGTTGACTCACTCACTCACATAATCAACCTCCCCACCACTGGAAGCCAGTAGGCTCTGCTAGCTGTCAGGGAAAATAATCATAACACTGTTGTCAGTCAGCATGTCACCTACCTTTGCCTTGCATGTCCTCCCTTACTTCACATTTGATGTATTCTGTGGCTATGTATCCTTCTGAAGCACCTGGAGTCAGCTGTGGCTCTTGGATACCTGATGTCACTCTTCTGCATGGTTTCTTGTTCAGCTCTGACAGTGCAATGATTGTCAAATGTGGCTGAGAAGGAGGGGAAGCATCACATTGATTAAGTCTAAAATTATGTATTTTCTTTGTATTGCAAGTCATGTGGATCATTATAAATGGATGCTGCATTTATAGAAAGAGAAAAGAGACATTTAACCACATATTGCATATTTGTGTCCTGGCTTTTAATTCTTATTTAAACTGATTTATATACATTGAAAATATAAATCTTGATGAATTATTTTGGAAGAAATACACAGTTTCCTCCCATTATTTACTTGGCCTGAGAAAGATGAAGACAGTATACACAGTACCTTCCCCTGAAAATATGTTCTGTGCTTAATGTGCCCAGTTAGCAGCAGGAACATGACAGCTCATTAAGGGTGTAAGGTGATGGTTCGCCACTTTTAAAGCCCACTCTCAGACCCTTCAGAGGCTTTACCCATGAGTGGTACATAGGGTCTGGCTCATTCTTAGAAGTGAGCATTTTCTGAAGTGTCACCTTCTTTCAACTTGCTTGTGTTATGTTTGATAAGTGTGATGTGCATGTGAAATGATTTGATGATATGCCAGTAAACGCACAACTGTATCATTTTAATCCTTTTTATGCTTTTATATTTCTGTAGCTTACCTCTTAACCAGATTTAAGGCATTCTGCAAAATTAAAACCCGCCACTGGATGGCGCACAAGTATCTTTATTGGACATACAAATGCTCGTTTAAGTCTCAAATTAGTACCATATACATGCATGCTGTGTACCATGCAACAGCAAGGTTATCCGCTGCAGCCCCCTTCAGCTTGGATTAATTAAGGAGAGACATGAGAAACCCACAGCATATAAATGACAGACACTGAGAGCAAGTGATCTCTGCCGTCCCGAGGGACTCCTGAGCTCACAACATTGAACTCATTAACATGTAAACAAACCCATTAGTCCACGCATGTGCTCTTAACTGAGGGATACTTCTGAGGAGTCCTGTGGCAGTGGCTCCACACAAAGAATGGGCGTGAGTTGCCAGTTGAAAGGGAGCTCGGAGACTTATGCTTTGTTGCACCAGCGATTTGAGCGCTCAGTTTACAATCTGCGAGAGAAAGGAGAGCATGCCAGCGAGATGGATAGCACAGGTATGTCGAAATTGACCTTTTTTTAACAGAAACTATTGCAATGTGTTGGAATTACTACACTTGTCAGTTAGAATTATGGTAGAGGATAACTGTATCATCTTTTCCATTAACATTAGAAAGTGTTACAAAGTCTTGTGGCGCACAGTTCTTTGCAACTGTTTTAGTTAATAACGGATAGTAAGAACATGAAAATTACGCATGGTAGCCGTTTTTCTCACACTGAATATACTAAAGTTTATCAACACAACTCCTCAAAATTCTTCTATATTGTTGGACGGCATGAAAACTCCCATTTTATCTTATATTATCAGGATTTACAACAAGAGTTGCCTGAACACTCTCCCCAACCCAACTAAGACGCACAGGAGGGAGGGAAGTCCGAGCCAGAGAGTGTCTGAGTGCATCTGTTTGTCAGAGGGTGTTTGAGAGAGTCGGGGGGAATCACAGACAGAGGAAAAGAGAAGGGAAGAGAGAGAAGGGAGTAAGTCTGGACCAGGTGATCGAGTACTTACAAACCTCCAAGGGGCTGCCGGGTTGTAACAGTGTGTAAGGGATCAACGATCCGACCATGGTGCCAGCGCGCTGCCCGGGACCCTATGCCATACTGGCATTAGCCCTACTCTTGGGATGCGGCTTGGTTCTCTGCTTGGGCCAGAATGAGACGGAGCCCATCGTGCTCGAAGGAAAATGTCTTGTGGTGTGCGACTCGAACCCTTCTTCGGACGGAGCGGTCACCTCCTCACTCGGCATATCAGTCCGCTCCGCTGGAGCAAAGGTGGCTTTTTCTGCCGTGCGTGGGACTAACCACGAGCCGTCTGAGATGAGCAACACGTCTATGACCATCTATTTTGACCAGGTCAGGTGTCCCTTGACTAACACACACCAACAATACCAATCAGATTTAGCCCAGTATCTTAACATCATTACTGCTTTATTTTGGTGTTTTTCCTCATTAATCCATTCTATCTAACGGCCGCAGACGCATATAACTAGCATAAGGTCATGCTTCATTGATTTCTTATCACTGTTCCTGCTTTGTGTGATCTGAACCCTGATTATATCTATATTGTTCTATATCTAAGCTATAGAGCACAATGCTGTTTTCCTTTCATTTAATGTTGTGCGTAATTGGATAATTTGGAGACCACATAGGAATTTACACGTGCACTGTGTAGCTTTTGGTCGGATGCTCAAATAAGTTTTGACAGCTGAGGTCTTTGAACAGAGGCCTGTTATACGCAACTGGGCACCATCCCAAACTGCAACCGTGCCGTCTAAAACATACCAGAATGCGGGTGATACCCCTGTCTACAGTCACTATGCGTAGCAGCGACACACAATGCATTACTACAAAACCTTCTGTCAGATTAAGTGAAGCATGCAAAAAATGGAGCGATGTCTCATTGTGTGCCCTTTTTGTTCACAGGTTTTAGTGAACATCGGGAACCATTTCGATCTCAAAGCAAGTGTTTTCCAGGCTCCAAGGAGAGGAATATATAGTTTCAGCTTTCACGTGGTAAAGGTCTACAACAGACAAACCATACAGGTGAGAAATTAGCAGATAATTGGTTTGCATTCGGCATTTGATAACATTTTAGTGCATCGGTGAAACTGAACATGGGGTTAAACTCCAAGCCTCTGTGTCCCCTTCCCTGCAGGTGAACCTGATGCAGAATGATTTTCCAGTTATATCAGCATTCGCCGGTGACCAGGACGTTACGAGAGAGGCGGCCAGCAACGGAGTACTGCTGATGGTTGAACGTGACGACCGGGTTTATCTGAAGCTGGAACGGGGCACTCTAATGGGCGGATGGAAATACTCCACCTTCTCAGGCTTTCTAGTCTTTCCTCTATAATCTAATCTGCGATGACTCACGTCGCAGGGGACTCTACTTACGTTGTGGAACAAAAACAGAAAACAAAAAATAATTTAAAAAATGTCTTTTATTTTTAACTTATAAATAAACTGTCAGCCAAGGAAGCCGACGAATATCTGTATACCTACACTCGTCCGCTATAGTCAAGTATGAACGTTTTCTTGGAGTCATATATTCAAATCCATCAGTCAACTTTAACCCTATCTGGATGATTAAACATATCGATCGGCCAGTGGCGTATGCTTGTCGGGTATGTGGATTTTTTTCTTGCTTGGAAAACAAACTATGCCAACAGGTGAATGCGTGTTCCTGAGCGAATCGGACAAGGGAGAAGATTAAAAGTGGAAGAGTTGATGCCCTGGACAGGCCAAGTGTGTTATGCTCTATTTTATGTTTGTATCGCCTTAAAGAATAGGCCTATGCGGTTTCTGTCAACGTGAATTAGCCTGTATGGAACTATGGACATCCAGAGAAGAAGTGCTTTCACACACCCAAGGCATTTTTTTTGCACGGATGGAAGGTTTTTTTCTTTATGTTTTGTGCTGTCAGTGGTATTGCTTTTGGATGCTGAACATATTTAAATTATGTCAAATATAGGCCACCGACGAGTTTATTAAAAGAGAAAAAAGGCGACCTATTTCAGCCACCGGAGACGACTTAGAGCCCTTTTATTTAAGAAAAGGAATATACATGTATATATGATTTATAAGGTACATATTTACATTATCGCGTGTTCTGCATTTCGGACTCTGCGTAGCTTTGACTTTAATGTTCAGTGACGTTGCTCACCAAATGTACATTGTGGAAATGATAGAAGAATCCCTATATGTTGCGCTTAATAAAATATATTGTATTGTATAAGCTGAGCGCATGTATCACTTTACACAACTTCACCCTTAAAGGTAATAAAGTGGAGAAAATGATTATTAGAAGCGAGTTTGTGAGTTAAGACAGACAAGCTCAATGGCCTCAAAAAGAAACAAGACAGTTAACAGGAAGCAGATGCTAGAGTCGCTGTCCGTGGTGCTGAACTCGTGACACCTGAACTAGAACAATAACTACCAAGGACCCCTGCTTTTTCTTTAAGGAAAACGAAGCAGTCGAATACAGATGGGAGATATTTGTAAGAGAATGACAATAAAAAAGTAAAATTATGACCTTACCGATGCTGGTTTTCAAAGCTATAACACAATACTCCATGGAGCGCCTTTACGCAGCGCAAGGCGCATAAAAAACAGCAGAGAAGTCCCCTTTTCTTAGAGTAAAACGAATCCCATTTTGATATAAACACGTTTTTATGGCCAATCACACACATTTAAGGCTGATATGGAAAAATGGCTAAAATTAGCAATTATATAGTTTAACAAATGCTAAGTTCTTCCGTGTTATGTTGTGTCTTTTTCTCTGACAACTAACTAGATGTCCCCCCCCAAACCCTCAGCCCTCTCTCTCTCTCTCTCTCTCGAACACACACACACACACACACACACACACACACACTCTTACAGGAACACACACCTATACAAACACACACCTATTATATAATCTTTTGGGAAATGAACCAATCTTTAAAAATATTAGTGTATTTGTTGACTTTATAATATACCGTGATGAGGTGAATCGAGGTGAAAGACTTTATCCTCTATTAATTTCTCTTGTTAAATGTAGATGAGTTGTGACCGGAGCAATTGACATGGGGAAGCACTGCAGTTCAATATCAAAAGAGACGTGTTCATACAATTTTGAACAGTTAAGGAAGTTGTAAGCTCGAGTGAGTCTTTAATTTTGTAGGTCAAAACATCTGATCTGCCAGACTGCTGAATCATGCATCTGTTAAGTTTGAAAAATTCTTATCAGTATTTCACACTTTTTTAGTGCTGTGGAGCACTGTTGTTTTAACAGCTCTGTTCTGGGAACTCTGGAAACACAGAAGAGACACGCCTTTCAACTTCCTGTATGGAAGCTGTGCTTTGCTGTGCTTTACTGTGCTTACAAGTTTACTTCATGAAACAGGTACATGTGTAGGAAAATCTGGAAAGAACAAAAAAGCTTTTGTCTGACTTACTTGGAATATGAATCATTTGCCAGTAGTGCAAAGTGACAAATGAAGTAAGGTTCAATTTTAATAGAATTGATCTCACTGAAAGACTCATACTGCAAATGGTGCACCTGAGTTTGTTAACATTAAGTCGGTGAAAGTGGGTTACCCCATAAAGTGGAAAGGTACAGTGTGAGATTATCTTTAAAAGTGTTTTCAAAGACCTTTTTACCCCTACTCAAGAAAAAAAGAGGACGAATTGCTGAAATTGCAAAGTTAGGTTATAAAGAGTCATGAAGGTGTTATCAAATGTTACAAAACCAACAAGGTATCATTACTTCAGTTTAATACAAAGACAGAATGAAAAAATACTTTGAAACTTACATACTTTATGAGAGAGCTAGAAAATGTGCCAGAAGAATTAAGACCCTGCTTGTTGAAACAAATACTACTATTGAACCATGTCAAATACAAACATAAAAATAACTGTTTCATCTGGGTAAGTATGTGACCCACCAGCTGTTGGGCCTGGAAAACATTTGCATTCATTGCTGAGAATATCATACATATGAGCATATTTGCATCAATATTTTTTATATACCTTCGTCTTGTGTATAACAGAATATAACAGCTGAGAACAAAGAAAAAAGACCTGCTGATAACCTGCTGATGCCAGCAATAGGACTGCACAAAGCAGCAGAAACTGCCAGCATATCAGAGTGATTTGGAGAGTGTATTAAATTGGCCTATAAAGTGCTAATTGTGCCCATACTGGAATGAAAAGTCTGTTTCCAAATGATCCCCTTAGATAATTAACATAGCCATCAAACACGTGTTCAGTGCACAGAGGCAATGAGAAATGAAAACAAAAACACTTTTCCAGTAATGAATACTATCAAATACTGTAGGTAATTTTTTTTCATGTAAAGAATATAACTTTCACACACTGAATTGCACTGAAATCTGTACAATTCTTATCTAGGAAGTTTACCACTCAGTAGACATGTTATGCCCAAAACAGTCAACAAATGACATAATGCTCTGCCTAACAAGGATTTGTTGTTTGTAGTAGTAAACAAAGAGAAACTTATGTTATCACCGAGTATAAATATACTTTTTTAAACCTGTTTTTTTTAATCATTTTCCACTCATAAAGTACAGTCTTCATATATAGGACCCAGTTTTATGGAAGTACAGATGGCCTTTTACTGTGCTTTGTGGGCCACATACTGATAATTACAAGATGTCATTAAAACACCCTGAACTCATATGGCCTTTTAGTTTTTTAGAGCATTATTTGTTCCTTTATGGCCTTTCTGCAGATTACAGTACGTCCTCGTGATACACATCCTTTGAGGTTCGGTTCTTTAATTTGTATGACTATAGAACACAATACCTGTCGTAAGATCACAGACTAGCTGTGGGCCGCTGGCAGTGGGGAGGTACAGCACTGACTGGAGCATTGGAAGATAAATTATGTAACATACTCATTAGATGGATGCCACTCTTTGCTCCAGACTCTCAAAGATAATACCAGTTATTCATTAATTTGTTTTAATGTGTAGACACCCACATGGGCTCAAACATGTGCTCAAGCATACAGTAATATGTACATGACACACATAGACGCACAATTGTCTTCATTTCTCGTGGGGACTTTACTTTGACTTACATTCATTTACTGGAGACTTACCCTAACCTTAACCATAACTGGTACTTGCCTAACCCTAACCTTTACTGTAACCTTAAATCAAGCAATCACCCAAAAAGTCAACAATTTACATGGTGGGAACCTTCATCTGATTCCCATGAAGAAGGTGAGTCCCCACAGTTTAAAACTACAGAGTTTAATTCCTGTTCATTCAGCACTGAATAAAGTGATAACATCTAACATGGCAACATTTGGCAACATCTAAACATACTGTATCTTCAATCCACCATCATAAAACAACATTAAAATCATTCAGCAGTGAGAATTAAAACTGTGATATGTATTGATTTGAAAGCTTTCCTCTGGAGATCAAGACAGCTTTGACATTCATTTCAGCTCCTCTTAGTAGGTAAACATGCAAAGATTTAATTGTTTTCCTTTGCATGTCTTCAGTAGGTGATTTGTTCAGCCTAACAGGGATGATAGTTGGCAGGTAAAGTGTCATCTTTTCTCACTTTTTAAAAAATGAACAAGAAAAAGAAATGTATTATTTGTGCAAACAAGATGAATGCCACCCTCATCCTCTTTTTTACATCAAAACATCAACAAATTTATTCATTTCTAGAGAATGCATTTTAATCAAAAATAAATGGTAAAAATCAAACCTTGCTCCTGCTTAATACTGGAATAGTTATTCATAATCTTGCTCGTGGCAAAAGGCAATGAACATGTAAAAAAAGATCTGCTATTAATTCAGCCTAACCTAATGCACCATTTTGTGTTAGAACTTACAGTAGTCTTTATTTACATTGTTAATTTATCTTCACACCTCATGCATAAAGATGTTTATTACATGCTACTGTATTTAGCATGTAGTAAACTTATATTTGTAGCATTCGCTTATAAATTATTGATAAATTTTACAACTATAAAGACATTCCTTTGCTGTTACAGTAAATCTTCGCAGGCCCAGCATTTGCTTTTCCAACCTAGTCCACCAAGGTCAAGACAATATTTTGATACTGTTGGCATATGATGAGACCCTTAAGACAGATTTTCCTGCTCAACCTTCAATCCCAACTCATAGTTTAATAGCAAAGGAGTTTCACTTTCTGCAATGAAATACAAGGCTAAGAGTGTAGTCAAGATGTCCACAAGTAATTATATCTAAATATCCATTTTACTGGCTGGTCAGTTTCACTAATGACATCAAGTTTGATGAAATATTTGTGTTTAAATAATTTTTTTGAATTGCTAAACCTCTTCCTTCAGCATTCACTTATTGGAAATCAGTGTGTGGATGTGCACGGTATCTTTCTCAAGACACACACTTCCAATGAGGAGAAACCCTAACACGACTTTCAACCTTTTGATTGCAGATGAGCCTCATACATTGGTATGCATGAAAAAACCCCTCAAAAAATGTTTCTTTTGCCATGGACTCGTTTTCTTCCAGTCCTAGTTCTCGTTATAGTTTAAATTGCCTTAAGTGTGATTGTGAGTGCAAATAAGTCTTTCCCAGCATTATTTTTATTCAAGCTGTTTCCAGGCAATCCTACATGCAGTTCCTTTTGGGTATGAAACTCAGTCTAATATCATTTGTGACTGAAGGTTAAAAGGAAATAAGTGAAAGACAGAAAACCACCCACGTCCCTCTTGTAATTGCAATCTCTGGCCTGGTCCTTCTTTGCCCTGTGTTTTCCCTTGTCATTCCAAACCCAGCCCCCTAGATTTTGTCCTGGTTTCCCTCTCTTGTCACCTGCTGTGTCCAGGTTCACCTGCTTTCTGTTAGTGTAATCATCCACTTAGTATTTAAACCAGCAACTAGCATTCAGTGATTGCCAGATTATCTGACAGGCTCCATTTCTACTTTTTGTGCTCGCTATTTGCCTCACTTATCTAGCACTATGTGCACATTTTGTACTTGGTGATCTAGTCTAGTTAAACTTGTGCATTTGTTTTTGTTTGGATTTTGAGCTCTGCCTTTGCCAAACCCTTTGGAATTGTTCTACCTGGACTGATTACCTGCCTCTGACCCTTGTTTGGACATTTTCTGCCTCTGGCTCTCCTGCTCATTTTTGCCTGAATGGACTACAGTAAGCCTTGTTTCATTGTTTGTTTAATAAACTGTTAAACTTATCTGCCTGCCTACCTAGTCTGTGCTGTGCATTTGGATCCTAAACCCCTCTCTTGACATTTCCATAAGAAATGTGAGTGTATGTTCCAGCCCGTATGAA